CCGCCCAGTTCTACCGCCGCGCTTTCAAGAGCTGCGACTTCGACGTCGACGGCGTCCTAGAGGGCGCCGAGCTCGTGCCATGCCTGAAGGACGGCCGACGGCCGCGGGTGAGCTATCTTGGACTATCTTGGAGCAGCATGTGCTCCCACGTCGGAGGCCACCGTGGCATATCTGAGATCTCCTTGGATCGAAGAACAGGCAGCATAGGCATAGCCTTTCGGAGCTCCGCGCGGACTTCGTGGATCTGTGCTGCACCCCTCTAGCGCCGCCCCTGACGCGTTCCGCGCGCCAGGGAGGGGCGTCCATCGCAGATCGGATCCCAGGAATCTGCCCGGAGCACCGAAAGTTCCTGTTTATGCAGTTCGATGTTGTTCTACATCATAGGGAAGCCATCTTCGGCAACCTTGGACGCTGGTACGGGCTTTCCCTTGTCGCGACCCAGTATAGGGGGCCAGGGGAGGGGTAAAAGTCTCCAAAGGGATCACCGCAAGTTGTCTTGTTCATGCCGCCCGCCTTCCCACCGTACGCGTAGCGCCCGACCAAAGACAGCCACTGGGATACAAATCATTCGGCTTTGTCGTGGAATACGTCATGAGCGAATCATGTTGCACTGCTGCCGTTTTGGCTCCAGTTGCGTCGGACATCAAGCAAACACCTTAGTACGCGCACGTTATGGGCCGTATGCCCCCTTTGTGGTAGAAGATCGGCTTGCGGCAGATCTGTTGGTAGGTTTGTGATCGAAGATACCCCCACGTCGAGTGATTATTTTCTAATGTCATTGCAGTCAAGTGTTTCATGAGGAGCGTTGTGCAATCAGTACGTCAGCATCCCCGATCACTGTTGCATCATAAGCTGATCGCCAATTATGCCTTGCAAGATGCACTCTGCGTGCGGTATTGCCGGCCACAAGATACGGCATGGTATCTCTTCTTGCATTGGCAATCGACATCGTAAGCGGATCTTGCCTGTGTGCACGCAAGCTCCCGTCTCGTTAACATAGAAGCTTTGCCACCCAGCAGAAGCTTGGCTTTGTCCTGCGGTTCCTTGTCCCGCTCCTCATCTTCTGTGTCCTCCTGTGCCCTTGGGCTCTGCTGGACGGTAAGAACTACCAGATGCTCTGGTCGCGTCGCGCGCGCGGCGCGCGAGTTGTGCGCCAGGTGCGGTACTCCCGCAATCGTCAGCAAACATCACTCCAAAATTACGTTGGGTGGCCAGCATGGTGCATGACGTGCGTGTGTGTGTGTGTGTCTTCGTGTGCCCCCGCCATCCCTTTGCTTTGGCTTCTGGTATGGGAAGGTGGCCATCGCACGCAGGAAAAGTATGCCCCAGCCCTACCACCCAGGTCAACACCAGCCTGGATCCTGGCCTGCATCAGGTCGAGTGGAGCAGGGGGTGTTTGCACATACGGACCAGTGATAGCTCCCCCCCCCGGAAGGGGAAAGACGGGAGGGGAACAGCTATCACCAACACCTCGTAAGCCCAGAGGGTTGCTGGGGAGAACAAATGATGCTGCACTGTTTCAAAGCAGGCTGTTGTGCGCCATGTTGGTAGCGTGTTGTGTTCGAACCATATCGCGATACGACTTGAGTTTACGGGGCGATGCGGTGGTAGTTCTACGGACTTTGACGGTCACGCACAATATGCTGGGTGGGTAAGTGTTTCGTTTTTTTGTGTGGGGTGTGCAATTGTTGCCCTAGTACGTTTTGATGGGCTCATAGTTCTTGTATGCGGTGCATTTGCTACGACACGTGGTGGTAGAACGTACGCATCGTTATGCGCAGCACACTCAGACAAGTAGACGATCTATTTGTATACATGTAAAGAGAGAGAGAGAGAGAGAGGAAGCAACAACACGAGACAGAGAGAGCGGGATAGCCAGCGCGATAGAGAGGGATACAGACAAATAGAGAGAGAGAGAGAGATAGAAAGCCCCAGTTGCTTTTCTCAGCCAAGTATGTTTCCCAGGAGGAGGGCGAGCATCAGCAATGGGAGAATGGGGAAGAGCAGGAGGAACACGGGGTGGAGCATCGCTGTGCTCCTTCTGCCACCCCGTCGCCTGAACCCTTCTCACCCCTCTCTGCCGCCCGCGTGCTGCAGAAACGAAAGCAGCATCTCCTCTGCCGCGCTTCAGTTCCCGTGGAAGCCGCCTCCCTCCGCCATCCCGCAATCGTTTTGCAGTCCTGGCTCATCTTGTTGCCTCCTCATCGACCGGAAGAAAAGGTACCCATGCCACTACCCTTGACTCGTTTTCGCCGTTTGGGCCTCCTGGGAGGCCCTCGTCGCCACCGCTGGCTTCGCCTCGGAGTTCTGGTCAGAAGGCACCCTGGGAGAGGTCCGGGGAGTAGAGGTATCGGTTCTTTTTGGTAGTCCCTCTAATGCGTATATTTCTTCCTTCTCCCCCCTCTACCCCGTCCACTAGTCCTCATTGTTCCAAGAATGTTCACCGGCATCTCCTCCCTCAATTTCCTAGTTCTTTTCCCGTGCAACGTCATGTGCTCCATGACCCCCCAAAGTACATATATCATAAGTGTAATCGATATACTCAGCGTGGACCCCTAACAGAGGATTCTTGCAATCAGCGTGCAAAGTAGGTCGTGCCCATGAACGTGCAATGTAGGTTGTGCCACCTCTGGGATATAGTTCACATCGTCTGGTATAAACATAACGTGAAGGTGCACGTACATCTGTGGTGCAGTCTATGTGGTGCAATTTGACTACCCTGCACCGCGCCTGACCACCTCCACTGCTCGCGCAAACATCCCACCCACCCACCCGCAACTTGGTCGCAAGACTTCTTAAGACAAGACCGTGACGGTAGGTACCACATGGCACTTGGCCACGACACCGACGACGACAGCGACAACGACGACGACGGCGCCGCCAACACCGACTACGACGACACCGCCGACGTCGACGTCGACGTATACGACGCCGACGCCGACGACGAAGACGACGACGACGTCGCCAACGAAGACGACGACGAGGGAGGAGGGAGGACGACGACGGCGACAACGACGACAACGACGATGGATTATTGAAGACGGCGACGACGCGAACGGCGAAGAAGGAGGAAGGACGGCGACGCCGACGACGACAACGACGAGGGAGGAGGGAAGACGACGACGACAACGACGACGAAGACGGCGACGACGGCGACGAAATAGGAGGGACGACGACGAGACGCCGACGACGGACGACGACGACGACGAGGGAGGAGGATAACGACGAGGGAGGAGTGAAGACGACGACGACGACGATGACGGCGACGGCGACGAAATAGGAGCGTCAACGACGAAACGCCGACGAAGACGACGAGGGAGGAAAGACGACGACGGCGACAACGACGACGGAAGCGACGACGACGCCAAGACGACGACGACGAGGAAAGACAGAAGACGACGACGGCGACGACGACGACGACGACGAGGGAGGAGGGAGGACGACGACGACGACGACGACGCAAGAGCACGCGCGCACGCTTTTGTTGAAAAGCCGTGTTGCGAAACCTTGTGTTTTTGTAGGGTTTTTTGGGACACGATGTTGAAACCCTTCCGAAACCGATGGGTTTTGAAGGTTTTGGGCGTACGCGCGCGACGACGCGCGCGCCTGCACTTCGTCGCATTTTTTGCAGAGGATTCTCTCGAAGGCACACGCGCAAGGGCGTTCGACATGTGCGCGAGCGACGCCCGTTGAATAGAATGTTGTAAAAAACTTGAAAACCTTTGATTTTCTTAAGATTTCGCAAGAGCTCGCGCGGAAGCTTTTTTAGCAAGTCAGTGTTGCGAAACCCTGTGGTTTTGTATGCTTTTTGGAAACTCGATTGAGAAGTCCTTCCGGCACCGGAGGTTTTTGAAGGATTTCGGCTTGCGCGCGCGACGGCGCGCGCGTGTGCTCTTCGCCCCACGTGTTGCAAGGGATTCGCGAAGCAGTGCTATGCTAGAACAACAAATGTCACCGCGTAGTGTTTGTTCTTACCAGAGAACCTCAGAGGGGGGGATACCGGTTGGCCTGGGACATTGAAAACTCATATTTAGGATGGACATGTGGTCAGAATCATACATGATTTACATATCCGGAGGGGGGGCGATAACGCCGGACGACGGGTAGATCTTATTCTGTTTGTAGTGGTTTTAACCAACGAGTTAACACTTCCCGCGTTTTTGCAAACACCCGCAACTTGGTTTGCAGAACCCACGACGACGATGACGACGACGACGACGACAACGACGACACCGACGACGACGACGTCAACGACGCCGACGACACCGACGACGACGACGACGACGACGACGACGGCGACAACGACGGCGGCGACGACGACGACGCCGACGTCGGCGACGACGACGACGACGCCGACGACGACGACGAAGACGACGACGTCGCCAACAAAGACGACGGGAGGACGGCGACGACGCGAACGACGAAGAAGGAGGAAGGACGGCGACGCCGACGACGACAACGACGAGGGAGGAGGGAAGACGACGACGACGACAACGACGAGGACGAAGACCACGATGGCGCGATAGGAGAGTCGACGACGAGACGCCGACGACGGACGACGACGACGACGACGACGACGAGGGAGGAGGAGGAAGGACGACCACGGCGACGACGACGACGAGCACGAGGAACGACAGAGGACGACGTAGGCGACGACGACGACGACGCGGGAGGAGGGAGGACGGCGACGACGACGACGACGACGCAAGAGCGCGCGCGCACGCTTTTGTTGAAAAGCCGTGTTGCGAAACCTTGTGTTTTTGTTGGTTTTTTGGAAACGCGATTTTGAAACCCTTCCGAAACCGATGGGTTTTGAAGGTTTTCGGCATAAGCGCGCGACGACGCGCGCGTCTGCACTTCGTCGCATTTTTTGCAGAGGATTCTCGCGAAGGCACACGCGCAAGGGCGTTCGACAGATTTCGACATGCGCCCGCGAAGCCTGTGTTTGGTAGCATTTCGTAAAAATATGGGAAAACCTATGATTCTAAGATTTCGCAAGAGCTCGCGCGGAAGCTTTTTTAGCAAATCATTGTTGCGAACCCCTGTGTCTGTGTATGTTTTTTGGGGAAACTCGATTGCGAAATCCTTCCGGTACCGAAGGTTTTTTGAAGGATTTCTGCGTGCGCGCGCGACGACGCGCGCGTGTGCACTCCGTCCTTTTTTTTGCAAAGGGATTCGTGACAAATTGTTATGTTAGAACAACAAATGTCACCGCATAGTGTTTTCACAAGGGAACCTCAGGGGGGGGATACCGGTTGGCATTTGACATTGCGATTTCATATTTAAGATGGACATGTGGTCAGAATCATACATGATTTGCATCTCCGAAAAAGGGGGCCGATAACGTTGGGGGGGGGTAGATCCTGTTTTGTTTTTAGAACGGAGAATACAGGAGAATGTATGGGATGCAGTAACAACCTTAGGTGGTGCAAGATCTCAAGTGTAATCTATGTGGCGCAATGTGGTGCACTCTATGGGATTCGCCCCATGCGTTGCAAACTATATGTTGAAAGGCTTGCGGAGCACATTCTGTATACGTGCGCATCGCCTGCAATTTGCGGGCCGTCAAAGATGCGGTGCAATCCATGCTGTGTGATTAAAGACGGCGTCACTTCCACTGCTCGTGCAAGCACCCCGCCCACCAACCCACACGCTGATGACGACGATAATGATGTTCAGTATTATTTGGGGGAAGTCATCGGCGACGACGGTGGTGATGGCGACGCAGCTGATGCTGATGTTTATAACAAGAACGGTGGCAATGATTATAAGGATGAGGATGTGTGCGGACGCAGAATCCATACCCCACCATCTTCCCGAATTGAACAACCATTTGGTCTTCGCACGCGCTTGAGCACATCAGCGATTGAATGCTCAGCACACCAGTGGTTCTGGAAGGATTCTGGCGAGCGGGCAGAGACGCGCGTGTGGCGGGCATGGTTTACAGTTCCGTTTTTAATACATGCTCCGCGCGCGGATCAATTTTTGAATGCAGGGTTTAGTATTAAAAACAACGGTGAGTTCATGCATAAATTTATTCATAAATTCATAATGTATGAGAGTTCATATATTTTCAAACATCCCATGTATTCAAACCTGCCCTATATGTTGCTGAATCTCGGTAGGCGCGCGCCCAACAAGTGCCTGTGCCATCGCAGGGCATATGCGAAACACATGCAACGCCTCAGGCTTAGACTCTCTAGACCACAGAGCCTCCTCAAAAAGACCACTACCCAGCGCCGGCGAGTCACGAATCGAGGGCCGCCGGATGACCGTTCAATGCGCCAAGGCAGGGCAAATGCGAAACACACGCAACGTCGAGGGCTTGGATGATCGTGTGGTTATTCATTGCGTTGCCGATCGGCGCGGGCCCTCGCACCCCCGCCCCCCCCTCCCATGGAGTGGATCTTGGCTGCTTTTTGGCGCCTGTTTCGAACAGGTGGAGTCTCCCTCGTGGGACGCACTGCTGCAAACAGTCGTACTAAGCAGAGGTCCGGAGCCAGACCCCTCCCTCCCACCACCCCGTTCCGCCCAATGTCGAGACGCCGAATAAGAAAACGATCACTAGACCGCAAAGCCTCGTGAAAAAGCCAACTACCAAGCGCCGACGAGTCACTGTTCAAAGGCCGCCTGATGAAAATTCATTGCGCGATGGCGCGCGCTGCGCGCGAGACGCAATACATCTTTGCGTGGTGCACACGGGCGGAGGGGTTCAGGCTATTCAGGCATGTGGTTTACCTGAATTTCGCGCGAATGGCAAAGACAACGCCTCCCCACGATGACCAAAAGGTAACTATATGCAAGCACGACTGTTCACACGCAAGACCATGGCATGGGTGCAGAATGCGCGGCCACTCGACGCACGCGCTGGACACCGCCGCATTACAACATGCAGCCGACGGAACGGCGCATCGTGCTCAAAGGCAAAGCATACAGCGCGTTGCTTCAATAAAATCTCAGTGTACGCGGGGCTTCCAACTTGCAGCAATACAAACAACTCGCGATGTCATTAAGATGCAAAAAGAAAATCATGGAGTTGAATGGTTTCCCGCGATACCCCTGATTCTCTCATGCTCGGCATTCGTTACTGGAGGCCGACATCTGACACCCTGATGAGGATGTTGCGGCTGGCGATGACGATAGTGACGATGAAGTTGAGGACGATGATATTGCTGTTGTTGGTGTATATATGTATATATATATATATTTGATGATGATGATGGTGATGGTTGCGGTGATTGTGATGATGGTATTGATGATGGTACTGATGATGGTGATGATGATGATGGTACTGATGATTGTGATGATTGTGATGATGGTGATGGTATGATGATGATGATGGTTGATGATGATGCTAATGATAGTGATGTGATGATGATGGTGGCGATATTGACGAGTATGATCATGATGAGGATGAGGATGGATTATGGTGACGAGTATGATGATAATGATGCCGTGGATGTTGATGATGTTGATGATGTGGATGATGATGCTGATCACGATGACGGTGATGACGAAGATGATTTTGAGGATCAGGATTAAGATGATCGTTACGATGACGCTGACAATGATGATGGTACTGAGCAGGAGGAGGAGGTGGCTGGAGGTGGTGATGCTTATGCTGACGATGAGGATGCGGATGAAGAGGACGATGCCGACGACGATGATGATGCTGAAGATGATGATGATGCTGATGATGGTGATCATGATGAAGGTGATGATGGTGACGTTGCGGTTACTGGTGATGATGATGAGGCGGGATTCGAGATTGATGATGATGTTGGTGTTGCGTATGGTGATGGTGACCATGATCATGAACATAATGAGCGTGATCACGTTGATGATGGTGATGAATATGATGAGGAGGATTGATGGTAAGTAAGAATTAGGTTGATACTGAGTATGATGAGGAGGAGGAGGAGGAAGACGCGGATGAGGAGGGTGGTTTGCTTGGGCGGTTTTAGACCAGATTTTTGACAAGAGTTTCGACTAGGCATTAAGTCCGATTTTGGATGTAGACCAGACCTCAGATAAGCCTTTAGGCCAGACCTTCGTTCAGACGTTCAGACATCATCGCAGTTCTTGGGCCAGGTCTTAGCTCAGACGTGAGACCAGACGTCAGACCATTCCTGGGAGCGGGATTTAGACCATACCTCATGCCAGACCATTGGCACACTTTAGATACCTCAGACCCTACCTCGGACCAGACCTAATGTTGTAGATCTCGGACCGCTCCTTAGATCAAACTTGCACCCAGACTTGGCGTCACATCTTGGCGCAACCTGAGGTACCGGATATCGGGCCAGAGATCCAGCCATTGTTTAAATTTGCCTTTCGAACAAATCTTAGAGCAGACCTTCTACCAGCCTTTCGACCCAGACCAGATCTTGAATCTAATCATCGACCTCACCATTGCTCAGACCTCGTACCAGACCTTACGACCTTCGGCGCCAACTGGTGAAGACCTTGAGTAAAACCTTCGGCGCGACCTCCTGACCGCAGACCAGACCTGAGACCAGATCATAGAGCAGACCTCAGACCAGATCCTGCAGAAATCTGGAGGTCGTATCCAGACCTAAGACTACATGTTGGACCAGAACGTGGAGCAGACCTCATACAACACCTCAGACAAGATCTTAGACAAGACTTCATACCAGACTTAGACTAGACCTTAGATCAGACATTCGACCAGACCTCTGGTCAGACCTCAGGGCATAGCCTGCGGTCATACTGCCGTCCAGATCTACGATCAAAGCTTAGAATATGCTTTGGCTACACCTGATCGTGGACCAGAACTGACACCATTCCTTGGACCATACCTTAGATGAGACTTTGCACCGGACCTTCCATCCAGACGTACACCAGATTCATGGCTAGACCTGGGCCAGATCTTAGACCATACAGTTGACCAGAGTTTAGCCCAGACTTTGCCGACCTTGAATTCGGTCATGGGCAATACAGTCAACCCGCACAGTAAGGATGAGTAACTCTCCAAGGTTACCATTGCATCCTTCCCCTTCGGCACATCCCTAGCCGCTTTCTCTGGCCTCGCACCGCTCGCAAAGTGTCGGCATGGCCTTCAAAGGCCCTTGCATCCTTATCGTGCGTTTTTATTTGAACGGGTTGATTGTACCTTGGACCAGATGCTAGGGCCGAAACCAGGCCGTAGACGAGGTCCTAGACCAGACTTGAGCCCAGACCTCAGAGTGGTTTTTGGACCAGATCTTAGACCGCTTTGGGGGGCAGACCTCAGGCCAGGCGTTGACAGGGATTCTAGACCAGATGTTGGACAATAATTCATACCCTTATACCAGACCTTAACCGAAACCTGAGAATAGTCCTTAGAGTAGGCCTAAGGCCAAACCTTGGACCACATCTTGATCGCCAAACCTTCGACCAGGCCTCGAAGGAGATGTTGGTCTGGACCTTAGACCAGACTTGAGGCCGCAGTAAACCAGACATTCATAATGTCTGTTTAATAATGTCTGGTTTACTACGATATAATGATTCTATCGCACCGTAGGGCAGGGCCAGTGCCTCTGTCCTCCCTCCTTCCTCATTGGACTTCTCTTACTTTCCACTCCCCCTGGGGCCATTGTTTCGACGACACATCGCTATCATCTGATCTTCCGCCTGCGACTCGTTCCCGCCTTTTCGTCCATCGCGCCATCGCCCTCCTGCCGGTGTCTTGCGAGTCCCGCAATGCGTGAGCCCCCCATGCAGCTCTCACGACAGAGGTCGGCCCGCTCCACGTCACCATGATAAGCAGTCTTTGCCAGGTGCTCATCTCAGTCGGTGTGGATGGATTGGACACGTCCCAGGGTAGTTCCCTGTTCCCCTCCCCCCCGCCCTGCCGTTTTGCCGTCAATGCTGCATGTGCTGTGGCGGTGAAGAGCCGTCGCGTGCCCTCGAGGAGGTCGGCTTGAACGGGTTCAAGGCGGAAGAGCGGTACGCGATCCGGCAGGTGGTCGACCAGTGGCTGTCGGAGAACAGCGAAGAGGTCCGGAGGAGAAGCTAAAGGATGCCCTCCTCGTTGTGGCGCCAAGGGAGAAAGTCACGGCGGGCGTTTTCGCTGCGTTTCTGGATGCGGGGCTATTGCGGGTCGGCCCAGCTCGAGACGTCGTTTCGAGACGAGGTCGAGGTTTGTGGTCGAGATGTTGCACATGAGTTGTTTGTTTTATGAACGTTGGGAAAGAAGGATGCGAAGGGAGAGGCAGCAGTTGTCAGATACAATCGAGAAGGGCCGCGCGTCCAGTTCGCATCGTCGTCTGCACTAGATGCGCAGAGAGGGGTCTTGCAAGGCAGTGTACACTTGTATGCGAGTGGTGTTCTTTTTTGGTCTGGGTCGAGGAGAATGCCCTCACACCGTGCACCCTCTCACATTGCGTCGCGCAGTCATCTTGTTTTTTGTTGCTGCCGATGGGCAGCCCTCGTCGCCGCATTTGCTTGTGCCCGAGGGGACAGAAATACTCACGTGCCTCTTCGGGGTGCAGGTGCACAGAGTAGGCGACCAGCTCCCAGAAGACGAGGTTGGCTGGGCACAGTTGGGCCGAGCCCTGGTGTCATCTGAGCGTAAGTTTCCCGCGTAAGGTCGCGCGTAAGCGCCCTCTTCTCTAATGCGGCGTGCCGCGCTGACGGCCCGCGTAAGTCATCGCGTAAGGTCGCAATGAATTCTCGCGTAAGACGTGTTTCACATCGTCCCTCAGCTGAGGTAGGCTGGAGACTCGCCAGGGTCCATTTTGATCCGATCGACCCGAGTCGATGTCGATTCAGGCCAATCCGATCCGCTTCGATTTCGCCATTCTGGCGATCTGATGTTGCCCGATGCCCGCATGGCGCTGTCGCGTATCTTGGCGCATACGATCAGATCCGATTCTGACTCCGTGCCGATACGGCCCGACCCGACGCAGATTCCGATCCAATCCGATGTCCCGATTTGATGCTGGCTAATCTTGGCCAGAGCATTCTTGGCGCTCGCTCAATCCGTCAAGGCGCGCCTGGAAACCCGATATCGAGGCGGGGACCTCCAGAGACGTCCAGGATCTCCAGCGGTCCGACGACTGGTTCTGAGCCAGCGGTCCTCGGGGCCTTCGCTGGTAGGGGAATCGCCCCATGAGATCCTGCGCTGGCACAACCTCTGGGTCATCTTGAACTGTTGCCGCGGCGATGTCGGCGGCCTCAAGGCGGGGCAAGGTTTTCGAGGAGTGGCATCCATTCCCCCCCCGCTCGTCGATGTAGACATGGTTCACAATCAGTTAACCATACAGCGACAGCGAGTTGTCAACTTATGTCCAAGACATGAAGTCATGACATGTTGGCTAGGGGCCGCTCATGACGCAACATCAAGGTGGTATCATTAGGACATTCCTGACCGAGGCAGGCATAATTTAGTAAGGCGAGTCTATGCTCTAAGAAACTGCTTGGTGTGTGGAACACTCGGCTGTTCAAAGAACACTTGTGGTAAGCCTGTAGGAGTGCTAGTACGGTCGGCCCCAGCTAGATATTTTGCGAATGAGGAAACATGCATGAACACAAGGATCGTTCTCTTATTCGTTGTGTTGCCGATCGGCGCGGGCCCTCGCACCCCCCCCTTCACCCCCCCCATGGAGTAGATATTGGCTGTCTTGGGCGCCTGTCTCGAGCAGGTGTGGGCTCCCCGCTCGCGACGCACCGTTGCAAACAGTCGCACTCAGCAGAGGTCCAGAGCCAGACCCCCCCCCCTCCGCCCAATGTCGACACGCCGAGTGAGAAAACGTTCACATACAGTCAACCCGCGTAGTAAGGATGAGCAACCTTCCCAAGGTTACCCTTGCACCCTTGCCCCTTCGGCCCATCCCTGGCAACTTTCGCCGGCCGAGCCCCGCTCGAAAAGTGTCGACATGGGCCTTCCAAGGCCCTTGCATCCTTACCGCGCATCGTTATCCCACGGGTCGACTGTAACCTCTCGGAGATCCGCGCGGATTTCGTGGACCCTGGCGCTGGGCCCTGGAGGTCGTGGCGGCAGTGGGGAGAGCCATGGTGAGCTCTTGCAGCAGGGGCAAAACATGGCTGAACCCAAACGGTGTTTTTCGTTTTCGTTTTGTTTTCGTTTTCCCTCGTTTTGTCTTCAACTCCTTTGGCGCAGAACGAAATCGAAAGGCTCAGCGGGGACGCGTCGACCCCCGATCGCCCATTCGTCGCCAATGCTGAGGATCGCTGCCGTGGTTGCTGAGGGGGGCTTGGGGGGGGGAGAAGGGGGTGCCACAGTGGGTTGTCTCTGGCCCAGTCCAACTCACAAGTTGGTTACAGGTGCCCAGTTTGCCTTAGGATGTTGGGGTAGCTCCGCTGAGTGGGCTCCGCCCACTTAGCGCAAATCAGTCCGCTTTTAAGCCACTTACTTTGTTGTTCGCTGGGTTGTAAGCTTGTTATAACTCCAGCCAACCCTTTTCGCAACCCAGTAGTAACGCTGCCATAACATATCTAACTCGGTCGTAAGGTTTACTAACTTTCGGAGGAGTTAGTAACCAAACATGTAGAGGTATAAAGTTATAAAAGACTTACATCGTCACCAACATAACCCAGTTATAACTGTATATAACGTGTACACCGTACATACCAACACATAGTACACACATGTACAACAGTTGCATTTCGATGTGTATCGCACCATACGTACACACGTGCATGCACACATTTAGCGTTTGCGATTGTCGTACAGGTGCGTGAACTTGTGTTCGACCTCGGTAATCGCATTCTTGCCATCAGCCATGCACCGTTGACCGCTGCCTTCCGACATCGTGAGTCTGAAGTTGTATTGGGATATCATCGATTGTGTTGAGCGCCATCCGACTATCTGCTCGCGTTCCGTAGCTTGTTTTGGCTCCGGCGTGGTTCAGTTTAGTTGGTAGCGGCGATCGTATATCGTGATTTGTGCGTTCGCATATCTATCCAGTTTGTTTTCGGTCGTGCACTCTGGAGCGGCAGACGTTCAACACTTTACGGCCACGGCATGCTACAGAGAGCTCAAAATGTTGTGCGACGAGTACGACGCCGAGAGCAAAGAGTCAGCAGGCAACGTGGAGCTGAAGGACCGCGCCCTCGCGGTGTGCCACAAATACCAGCATTCGTACCAGCAGGTGTTCCACTGCAAGCAGGTGGGCGCCATGGAGAGCAACCGCGGAGGCGAATGCGTCCAGTGGCGTCGCGCGCGCGGGCGCGTGCAGGTCATCGAGGCGTCAGGTTTCTCTTTGGCCGCCATCATGAACAATGCCGTGGCTGGCGAAGACACCCCCTACACCAAGGAGTACGCAAAGTACACGGTGAAGCAGTGTGCCAAGCACCCGTGTTTCGCAAAGCACCAGGAGGACGATATTCGAATTGGGGCGTGGGGGGCAACGCATGTTCTTCACGGGTTTGCTTGCGTCCACGACCGCGTCAAGAGCGAGTGCGAGAGCCTGACGAAGGACGGCTACATGGACCTCGACGTCGCGTGCAACCGAGACAAGAGGGGTCTACTCAGGGACGCGATCGTCAACGGTGTCAAGTTTACCGTCGTGAAGTGGGTCGTCCACGCGGCGTTGCCCATGGTTGCCAAAATCGTCGGCGACGCTCTTAACAAGGTGCAGCAGACGTCCGAAGGTTGCCCCCCTTTCTTCTTTCCTCCGATGTCCTCCCCCCTCGTCTTTTTCATTGTGCCTTTTTAGCCCCCTTTCGTTGGCGCGATAGTCGTCGTCTGCGTATTTCGTGGTTTGCTTGCAGCGACAGCCAATTGCGGTATCGGTTGTTGTTGTCACGGCAGCGGCGGGCGCGTCATAGGCGGGGAGCGGTTCAGGCGAGACTTGGTTCCAGAACCTGTTGAGCATCATAGACGTGGCGTCCTCCATGGGCGCGCAGCCCGACTGGAAGGCCGTCGCCAAGAAGTTGTTGAAGTCACAGCCTCCGAGAGCAATGGACATCCCAGACATGGTAGACTACATCAAGTGGAGCGGCATGCCCAGCGGTGGTTTGATCAAGGAGCTAGCGCCCCTGCTCAACCACCACGCGCCTTCCGACCGCGCGGTGTCAGGCTTGTTCTTCAAGCAGCTGGCGGAGCTCAAGTCCCCCATCGTTCGCATGCCAGCGCACGTGGTGAATGCCGTCCTGTTTCGGCACGCCGCGGCGGAGGACTGCGCGAGGGACGGGTTCGCAGGGTATGTCACCAAGCCCGACTTGGCCATGCTCTCGGGGCCCGACAAGCGCCAGGCGGTGACGCAGGCGAACGGCGCCCTGATGCGCACGAAGGCCATGCTCGAGGAAGTGGGGTTGGACCCGTCAGTGAAAGAGTCGTTGAAGGGCCAGCGCATGACCGACGTCATGGACTTCCTGGTGGGGAAGAAAGACAAGGCGAAGATCAAGGGCACGGGCTCCGATGGCAAGGGCAAGTGCGCCACGGGGGAGAAGGGGCTGGTGGCGATCCTTGAGGAGTTCACCGCCAAGTTGGACGGCAACCCAGGTGATGGCCCGACGCATCCATCAGAAGATGGCGCCGCATCGTCAGCTTTGGCGGCACATTTCGCGCAGTATACCGACGGTGGCGAGGCTTCGGGCTTGGGCCAGACCACTGCGCTCAACAAGGACATCGTTGTCGACGCCCACTTGAGACTCCGAAAGCCATCCGAGGGCGCGCCGCTGGCAATGGTGGATATTTGGAAGATAGCGGGTGTCAGTGGCAATGGTACTGTTATTTCGATAATTTGGAATTTGACGGCACGCTTGACGACGATAGCATTGCATCCAAGCCATTGCAGGAAGCCGAAGAGCTGTCCCAGACTTGCATGGGTAGTGAGTTCATGGCCAACTCACTATCCTCACTGCGATGCTGTCAACGACATGGACTGCATCACTTTCGAGCTCAAGGGCATGATCTTTGCCGCGGTTAATGCGCTGCCTCGCAAACACGGGGTACAGCGCGCCAGGCCCATGCAGAAACCTGATAGGGCAGCGCTTGCCGCGAAGGAGCTCGGCATTGGATGCTACGTCGCA